TTTTCTAACGACCTTGAATACGTGGTGAATACCTTATAATTATATTCTGTAGATAACTTTTTATACCTACTCATTTTTGAAAAAAAAAGTAAATTTTGTGATAGTACTCTACCAAATTTTTCACTTTTCTGAAATAAACAATTTAAGTTTGTATTATTACTGGGTACTTCATAGGTATTAAAGTCATTTTGAATTTTTTTCCATAGTACAAAATTAATGCTTTATTCAAAAAACAACCTATTAAACAGTTTCCTTATTGCTATGTAACCAATCATTTTAAGCGAAATTAAGTACTAAATAATGAACTTTTGGTTAACTTTTTCTTTATAGAAGACAAAAGTTTGGACTACGTAATCAAGTGATGCAGATGCACACTGCAATTATAATGCTTTTTCTTAGTTGTACTTTTCTATCAGATTTTATTTTGAGTAGAAAGTTTAGTTCATATTTTCCATATATCAAAGAAACATTAGCTTCTTTTTAATGATGTTCCATTTGTTCATAGTGACTCACATCTTTATTTTTGTACTGTTTTAAATTACTCGTCTAATTTGAAGATTTTATTTAGAAAAAAAGCTTTTGATCTTTTATTGTGAATTTCTTGACTATTTTTCGCATCAAACAATTTTCTATCGACCTTTTTTCGTTGTCTTGTTTACTTTTGGGTCGATTCTTCTTGAATAATCAAAGTAGAAGTGCATTTTTATTGTTTCTTTGATGAGCACTCAAATTGTATAGCTTGAGAGAAACATATATGCAGCTGTGATTAATTTCTACTCGTTCTGGATGAATACTCGCAACAAAAATGACATATTCAGAATCATATTCATTGCGATGACGAAAGTAAACCAGACACAGGAAGATGAAGAAAAAAAAAACGTTACTCAAAGATAAACAAAACCTCATGTGCTACTGATGACGTTCATCAACATTATTCATCTCATCTTGGATACGGTTTTATATGTACTCTTCTGATGGTGGATAAAACCAATGCTTTATACAGGATATAAACGACATTGGCAGCAAATGATCTTGATAGTATACTTCACGTTAATAAAGTTTTAGTTTTATTAGAAAGGCTATCTTCTTACGACTGGTCATCAGCAGCATCATAGTTTATTGTTTGGAAAAATTACGTATTTGTCAGTCTCTTCGTAATTTCCTGCATAATAACAAGTGTCATTCAACTATTACTTTTTCGTCAAATCCTTTTGAATATGATAACTGAAAAATGATCGCATACTGTTAGCTATTTGTGTGCCATTTTACTGTTTATTTCGGTACCTTTATTAATGCTCCGGTATAAGTAAAATATGTCCAGTTGATGCATTATTTTCTACAATGTGCATCAGTACTGTGTATTATCTGTCACTAGCAATAGAGAAGCTAAGTGTAGTCAAATATGCATCAAGAAAAATCGACTTATTTATACGTCTGACCGTGAAATAAGACAATCAGCCTGTACTTAATTTCTAATGCATCTTTTTCATGGGATCACGAGATACTTTGTCTATCATCGTCTAATTTGACTATCGAACAAGGCATATTTGTCTGAATTGTTGAACCAGTAGACTCTAGTAAATCATTTTTATGTGTTACTATTCTTGGTGAAATGAATGTCACCAATTATCAATCAAATACAAATAATAGTTCATGTACTTATACAATTCAATCATCATGAATTTTTTTAAGATACCTTTCGCAACAATATTCTTGTAAATCGAACATTTGATTAACAATGATACAGAAATGTAACGTATATACTCTTAGCTCATGCCTTGTATGCTGATCCAGACTTTTATCTACTTACAAAAAAATAAAACTTGTTGATTAGATACTCATCAAACTCAGTTATTTAATGAATCGCATCAAATAATATTTCTTTTCCGTGGTCATAACGATCAACAAGGCTGTTTAAACGAAATTATTATTTAAGAATATGATACAAACAAAAATGAAACATCAAAATTAGTCAGTCTGCTTGATGGAAAAACATCAATGGATGAACTTTGACCGATTGTAATTGATAAAAAACCACTAAATGATGGTGTCATGTGATCTATATTGTATCATTTATTTTTTGCATCGTCATCGGGTGGAAGAGGCTTCTGTGTACTTATCATTTTACTTTTGATGGATGAAGCATTAAAGGATGATACAGACTATTGACTGAGCATATGTTTGAAACAATCTGGCTGAGATCAACAGATTTACCCGAAATTTATTTTTTAATTTTGTTTTGAAAAAGTTTGTATGGTAAAATACTAAGAGGATTTTTGCATAGATCAATACAGTTTTTTGAAAGTAATCCAAGTGGAAAGAATTCTGAATCGACCAAGTTAAGATTAGTACTTCATCGATGAGTTACTGCCAGTAACCTTGCTCAAAGATATAAAGGCATCGTTACTCACAATTGGTTCACTGTTCACGGTTTCTTTTATTGATAAATCTCTTTTTCTTGCATTTATTTAATTATTAGTGGTGACTTGGTTGATAATTTATTTTTATTAAAAATGTTCGCGTCGATTTAAACGGCTTGAAAATATTACTCGCAGCCCCATTTATGCATTCTTTTCATCATCTTTTAATGGGTTATCAACAATCTGCTCATTGAAAGCTGAAAAACAGTTCTATTCAGTTGACTGTTTGTAGAATTGATATGCATTCATCCTTGTACCGGCTGAATCCCAATTATCTTCAGTAATACTTAATATGGTTTGTGCGTTAATATTATTAGTCAATTCTATTCGAATAATACATGCTCACGATCATACAAAATCATCGATATAATGATGATAAGTGACGAACGTGTCGATGAGTATTCACATTTACCACGTGAAGATGATCACAAATGTATTGTAAAACTTTCACCAAAATGGCCAACTCATGGAAACATCGAATTTAGAAACTATTCTTTACGTTTCATGTGTTGATGGTGCAATTCTTATTAAATGAAATTGACCTTAATGGCATTACACTTAATGATCTACAGTCTCATCTCAGTGTTATTCTACAACATCCTATCTTATTCATTGGGAAACTTTGATACAATCTTGATATATTCGAGCATTATCCTGATGAACAATGTTGGATGGCACTTGAAAATGCTCAACTTAAACTGTTTATGAGCAATCATTCAGCAAATCTTCGAATGCTCATTGTTGAATCAGTTAAAACATTGAGTAGTAGCAAATAGATCAGAAAACAGATGATTTGATTTAAGCAGTACTTAAACATAAATTTCAAGATCGAACTACTCTAACAATTGTTCATCAGCTGAATACAGTGTCAGAGAATGATCGTATTCTTGTTTTGGACAAAGGAACAATAAATAGTTTTGATGCGCCTACGAATATTTTGCATTCCGATGATTGATAATATCAGAACTTTTTATGATGAAAAATAAAGATACTTAATTGTTCAAGTTCCGTACTTCATCCACAAAAATTCAAATGTGTGTCGACTGTTTTCCTTAGTGTTCTATTTTATTGAACACTTATTTCTCTGCTGAATAGTATACTTTAGAAGACGTCGGTTTACTTACAGTCTGTTGCTTGATCACAATGTCATAGTGGACAAAAGAAGAGAAAAGAATTTTCTTAACAAATTGTTTTCAAAAACACTGAGCTGAATATTAATCTAAGAGAATAAATCAATCTTTTAGAATAATATAAGGTAAATTGTTATTATCATTAAAAAGATATACTTGTTTTCCTCTGATACAAGATACATCCATCGAGAAGATTGATGGAAGTGAAAAGAAGACTTTCATAGATGACACATCTCACCCGTTTGATCTTGAAATTGTACTTTCACATTGGAAAAAACATCTTCTAAATTTCAACTTTTCATATCATTGTGACAAAAGATGTAAACGTTTAATGCATGTGTTAAGAAAATAAAATTCTATTGCATTTTTAATAACGTACAAAGGCACACGGTATTTTGGTTCGCTGGTTAAAGGAGAAAAGTATTTAAGAAATAACCATGACAGAATTCATCAGAGTATGGGCGTAGATGTGAGTGTGAATCCTTTTGATTGAGAACATCAACACTCTCAAGTAAAATATACAGTACCTGAAATTCAGGAAAAAGGTTCGGAAATCAGAAAGATTACACGAAAACTTTTAAAATCCAAAAGACCTGGCAAACTTGCTGCTGATGCAGCTAATTTCACTCATCTGACATGAATAACATGAGTGATTATGAAAAGAACAGTGAACCAAGAGCGTGATATCTAAATTAATTTAGACGTACATCTTCAACTCTTTGGTACCGACGTTTTTTATTTGAGAAAAAAAGATTTTTTTGTATTAGTGAAAATATGATATTTACTAAATCAATAATCACTGTCGAAACTGTTTTATGGTATGATAAGCTTTGAAAAGATCAATCATGTATAGTCCAACATCGCTGACATTTCCGACACTTTTGCAATACTGATAATTTTCCCAATCAACAGGATGATGGCATGATTGTATAGAACGACAAAACTCACACCTACATCCATCGTCAGAGGCCTATAACGTGATAGTACATCACCACTGGACAGAAATCGAGCTCTAAGAGTAGTTAGGACAAATGCATCAATAAACTCTTTGGGAATACGTAAAGTAACAATCAAAATAATTGTGATATAGATGTGAGATCAAACAACAACTGTGGAGAGAACTAGCCGAAAAAATTACGTGTTCGGTTTATTTTGGTCAGGGAATATTATGATGCCCAGAATATATATAGTAAAACTATGGCAGGAAAAAACGATCAGTTCTTATTGCGGGAATGTGATGCAATAACAGCACACAGAAAGAATGTATATAGTATGAGTCATTGAAGGTAAAAATCATCAACATTCTTGTAACGTGACCAATAAAGAAAAAAGGTGCAGTATTGAAAGTTTCTTGTTTTGTCGTTTGATTTATTACGAGTCAGTGTTTTGTTTCTATTTTATATATGACTTGTAGACGCTTACTTTTTGTTTGTTATATACAAAAAAGTGTATGATGTGTGATTATATTTCTCATGAAATTTCAAAATTAGAACTTTTTCCTGATGAACTTTTCTTAGAATTATTTTCATTTATTCATCCAATTGATCTTTATCGTGGTTTTATTAATCTTAATTCACGTTTAAATAATATTTTAAATGATATTCGTATATGTA